TATATAATATAAATGACATAGAAGATATATAAGACATAAAATATTTCTTTAAGATCATCATCTTTTCTTAGATCATTATCATTAATATCTTCTTTTATATAATAATAATATTAAAATCTAAAATAATAAAATTAAAATAAAATATAATTTGTATTTTTAATTTTTAAAGTTTAAAAATTAATTTATAAATAAATTGAAATTCATTTAATTATTTATAAGAAATAATTTTAAGTATTCTAAATAATAAATTTCATTTTTTTTTTAAAGATTATAATTTATAAAATTAAACATAATTTTTAAAAGTAGTAAATTTATATATTTAATTAATCATCAAATTTAAGAGATATTTTAAGTAATCTAGTATCACCAACACTTTTTTCATTTCTATGTGATTTTTTTTTTAGCTAATATTTATTGAATTTGATCAAAATTATTTAAGTAACAAATAAGATGACAAATAGAATTTTTCATACTGAAAAATTTCAAGTCAAATACATAGTAAAAATGAAAAACTAAGGGTGTGATATAGAATAACAGGATTATGTGAAGGTTTAAAAAATTTATTTATATATAGGGTCTAAAATAATAAGTATGATAGAAGTTTGATTTTATTGGATAACTGATGAAAATTCTGATTGGTTAAATTAATTTCATAAGAAATTAATCACAAAACCAATCCTGAAGTTTCACAAAAAGTCTGTAAAAGAAATGATTATCTTTTTGTATTCTAATCTTATTCACGTGAATTCTCAAGGCTTTTAAAAAAAGACCCAAATTTTATGATATTTTGGTCTTTAAAGGTTACAAAACCAATATTTTGACTACATGTAATATGAAGGTATTTCTAAAGTTCTTTCAGTGAAACTAAGAGATCATAGAGATCATAATGTATATAAATAAGGGTAGAATAGCAATATTAATTATATGGATATATTATATAAAGTACTTGTGTAACTAATGATCATTTAAGAAACTCTGTTATGCTAGGATAGATACTGGGGAAGATTCTAAAGCGGCTAATCACATGATCAATATAAATTATTTGTCACCCACCACTTTTTTAATTTCTAATACCGTAATGCCGGCCAAATAACTCTGCTTTAGACGGGGCCCAAATTTGGCAATAGATATTCTCTTTCGTTAATGCCTACTAAGATTAAAATGAATAATATTTAATAATTAAAATTTCCTAATGTTTTCTTTGAATCGGTTCATAATATTTATGATATTTATGCAATTTGCCTCTTCATCTTCATAATTACGTATCAAATAAATAAAAAAAAAAAGGGAAAGTTTTATAATTATAATTGATTGTGCTATTCACAAAGTGATACATTCAAAGTTCAAAAAGTAACTATTAATATTTTTAAAAAAAACTGTACATACAGTATATAGTGGATTGCGTTTTATTATAAAAATTTCTTTATTTTGCAAACTCAAATGCTTAATTTTATAAGTTAAAAAATACTGTATCTGATCAAAATAAAAAAAGGATACAAGCAATCTGTTTTGAAAAATCATAAAATCTAGTACATATTTTATAAGCACCTTGATTTATATTCGTTCATATTTTGAATTGAACAAGCATAATAATATCATAGACAATTCCGATCAATATAAAAAAATATCACCATTAAAATTAATAGTTGCATTGTTGACATTGTCTCTGATCCAAGTCCAAGTACCATTAGTATATAGCCATAAGGAATCATTGAAATCAATTCCAATAGCATGCAGTGCAGAGAGCGATTTAATTTGTTTAAATTGAACTTCTGACTTAAGAACGCTATATAATAAAGTAAGGTAAAAAAAAATTTTGTTTTTTTTTTTTTCTTTTCCCCTTCAAAAAAGCAAATTTTATAAAATTCTTACCGACTTACCGAACGAAATAATTAACAAATAAATAAACAAGATTATTTTTATCTATGTACCATAAAGAATGATCATGGGAAGAGCAAGATACTTGGTGATAAATACTGGAGGTATCGACTAAAATATAAATACTTTAAAATCAAAGGTTGCTTATTTGCTTAACGAAAATAGTTTAATTGTCATACCGAATTCCCAGTCATACGTATTGGTTTTAATATCATAAACAGCTTTAACAAGATGGTTGCCATTATCCGTTGCAAAGATAGTATTGTAATCACAAATGGTAATACTTCTAGAACTTCTTCCATCACTAATTTTATTCCTTTCAAAATTATATACATGCATATTAAATTATTTAAATTTGCAAAATGTATAAAAATTATTAATATAAATATAATTTTTTTTTTTTACCATGAATCACCACCATATGAATTTCTATAAACACCATTTCCACTAACATAAACAATCATTCCTTCTGGCCCAACAGAAAAATCTAAAATATTCCTAACCTTAAAAACAAATTCTTGCTTAATTTTATCCCAATGATAAAGCTGATTAAATACACATAATAATGTTACTAAAAAATTTTGTTTTTTTACGCAATAGAAATCAAGTTGTAACTTAAAAAAGTATCATTACAGAATCATCATTTGTTAACATCCAAAAATCTTCTCCTCGACCAACGTCAATTTTCTTGATCCCATGGACAGAAAATGGAAATGGAAATGATGGAGGTATGCCTACTTTATTAAATTGTGTGTCCCAATCATTAAAAAGAAAGTAAACGATAAAAATGATAATCGTTCCAACAAAAGGACGCAAAAGTGATAATATCATTTTTCGATACTTTTAAAAACCTCATATTTTGGTCATGCATTATATTATTCAAATGAGCATCTATTACCTAAGCAAAATATAACCTTTTGATGCTTTATACATCACTAGAGATTATCTCTTTGAACAAAAGAACATTTATTTTCTAATTTTAGAAGAAAATCATTCCAAATGTAGAAAATGGAAAAGATTTTTGTGAAAGTTTCAAAATGAATTCACCATTGGGGCTTTTTCACATGTCATAAAAAATACAGTATATGCACAATGATGCTTATCAAAAGTTAATAAATACAACTTTGCATTGGACCATTCTTTAATTCCTTCGTTAATGGCGTTTAATGTTATAAATAATATTGTTATCAAGGAAAAAGATGTCACCATTATAATTAATAGTTGCACTTTTAACATTTCTTCTTATCAAAACCCAAGTACCAATAGTATATTCCCATAAATTATTTTTATAGTCAAGTCCAATTGCGTGGTGTTCCGAAAGAACTTTTAAATGTCTAAATGAAATCTCGGTTAAAGGAGTACTGTACGGTAAAGAAAATCGTTGAAATTAATCAAAAGAATCTTTTTCAAAAGAATTAAATCGAAACAACTTACCGTTGATGACGATTAATATATCTATAAACAAAACTATAATGATCCTTAAGCCATAATGACTGATCACGAGGTGCGCAATAAACATCGTAATAATAATGAAGTTCATCGACTATCAACATTCAAGCAATGTAATGTTATCCTTTTCGAGAAATTGTTTTCGAAAATGATCAAAAATTTCATACCATATTCCCAGTTGTACGTATTGTCTGTGACATTATAAACACCTATAATGAAATCCGAATGGTCATTTGTTGTAAAAATTGTATTGGAATCACAAATGGAAATGGTTTTGTGCTTGTAATTCCCATCATCTATTCTAAACCTATAAAAGAAAGGATATATGGTGAATGAAAATTTGAATTCAACTTTTGTAATAAAGTATTTTACCATGAATTGAAAAACATGTTTCTAATGTAAATTTCGTCATTATTGTTAAGGTAAACGGCCGTTCCATCGGATCCGATAGAAAAATCAAATACATCCTTTTGCATGAACATAAGATTTTTCAAAATTGTGCTCCAATGATAAAGCTATTAATTGACAAAAATCTGTTATTAACGAACCTCTATGAGATGAAAAATCGTTTAAATAAATAATTTACTTCTTCTTTATCAGTTAATATCCAAAAATCTTCTCCCTGACTAACATCAATTTTCTTTATTTCTGAATCATTAGAAAATGGTGGGAGTCCCACTTTACTAATTTTCATGTTCATGTCACCAAAGAACAAATAAATCCCCAAAATGATCATCATCCCAATGATATAAAAACGCAAAAATTTATCAGATAATTGACATCCCATTTTTTTTTTTTTTTAATTTTATTTGAAAGGAAAGGGTTTTTAAAAGATAGTTGATTTACACACAAAAAAAAAAATATCTAAAATATTAGAATTTACTTATGCGATTAGTTGATCATCTCTTTGTGGTAAGTAATATTGCCTTATAAGAAATTTTCTTTTGGACTTTTTCTAAACTTCGTCGCATCACGTGACTATTATACGCGATTTTTTTTTAATCGGAAAAGCTATTTACTTCCTAAAAGTGATTTTTTTTTCGACTTTTTCAATACATCTTGGCATTTTCTTTAATTTCTCCAATTCAAGTTAAGTAAGTTATTAATTAAAATGTTGAGTTTATAATACATATGGCCCTTGGTGCGAATTTTTTCGAAAAAATTCTGAACAGCATCTGGAAGAACAAGACTCTAAAAATATTGTGGACGAGCTAGACAAACTTTTCACTTGACATTTCAACATATAAGCATCTCTCAAGAAATGGTACAAAGATGAGGGCATATTTCCGGATCCAAAGTATTTGTTTAACCTTAAAAAGAGAGGTCTGAAAATTCGTTTCGTGGAACGAAAACCATCCAGATTGTCAAACCACAGTTGAACTTATCGTGAAGAAGAAGAACCTTCCAATTATTATATTTTTGAGTGAATATGATTGTTGTGAACCCAAGTCTTTTTTTTTTTATTTAATGAGAAAATTTCATTGATTATGGCATTAGGCCACAATTGACATATAAATATTAATATTAAATTCTCTTGTTTTAATGTATTTGAATCATATAAATCTTTACAATGAAAAAAAAAAAAGATAAGCGTTGCTATAAAATTTTCTCGAATGATTGTGAGCTTTAACTAACGATATGATGGTCTAAAATTCCAATATAATTGATCATCATCAAGCGAATTTGTCTAATGGCCGACCTTGTAAATAGCCCAGATAGCCGGTAATAAAATTACTGGTCTTTGCTTCTCTTCTAAGAAGGTTGATATATGATTGCCTTTCGTATGGATCACCTTCGTCAAAAATTTCTATTCGAAAATCAGTTGTTAGCGGTGTAATATAAATTTCAAAAAAGAAAAAAAGAAAATAGATTACCAACCTTTAAATTTGATAATTTGCACATTGTTTGCATGACCAATTCGCCTTCCAATTACACGTATTCCAGCTTCATAAGAGCCTACATATATTCTTCCTGATACTTGTCTTCTTGTCAATACCCACGTCGAAGCTGGCTTAAAAACTACCATATTCACAGAGGTAACGGCCATAATCCGCAGCCAGTCTCAATTCTTTCTGCAATTCAGCTTCATTGGAACCATAATTCTCGATTAAATTACGCACTCATTTTTATCTCACAAATTTCTATAATAAAATAAATGATGTGAATTTTTTTTTAAAAAAAAAAATTTATTTAGAAAACTGAATACATGAATGATACTGTACGCCCTCTAAAATATCGCGTCTGTAAATATTTCTTTATGAAGACCCGGCATTGGAATACTATATATCCTAACACGGTCCAAATACTTGCGAAAAACATTGACGGTACCACCAACATCCAGAAGCCAACGATCCAGAACACCAAAAGAACAAATGTTACAGGTGGTGCAAACAAAGTTACCGAAATTACTGAAATAAAAATAACACTTAAAACAAATGTTATTGTCAAGGAAATAATGATCCAGTTAATTAAATTCCACATTTTTTTGTTTTGATAAGAAAGAGAAATTTTAATTTACCAAATTATGAAAGTGTTCGATCAGAATATATAAGCTAGCTGATATTCGAGTTTGTATCCCGTCATTGATAAATACATGAAATGAATTTAATTTATTTTTACTCATAATCTTGCATACCAACAACGATCACACAAACAAAAGGTTGGTAGAGTTCGCTGTATTATCGTTATTATTTATCCTTCATGTCCTTCATAAATGCCGAAGGGAAATTTGGATAAAAAAAAATCCCTCAACATCGAATATACTCAATTTAGCAATTTTATCATAAGAAATCTTTAGACTTTCGTGACCGATTCAAAATTCATAATTAACGATTTATTTAAATTTTTAATTTTTTCTTAAATGGTTAAATCAATATTTTATTTAATTAATATTCTGAACCTTTTTAAACTATCTCGTTATGATATGATGATATCAAAGAAAAGTTTAAAAAAAAAAAAAAAATAAATTTTGTTTAGGTAACTTTTTTTTAAAAAAATATCATATAATGATGATCACATGGCGTAATATTCCTTTTTTTTTTTTATATAATTACTAATTGTATAAGCATCCCTTTCTTTTTTGTGCGAATTTTCACACAATGAACGTAACCAAAACCGAAAATAAATCTGTTCAGAACCCTCCTCTGGAAGAACGCTTTATTCTTGATGTACAAGCCATTAAAGATTTTCAGGACTCTATTCTGAAACAAGGCTATATTCAGGACTTTCCTGATGAACAAGGCTATAAAGAATTTGTGGAAAGAACTTCCAAGTATCAGATTGACGGTATTGAGAGCATCACTTCTTTCCAAGTTATTATGAAACATTAAATATTAAATTTATTTGTTTAGAAAATAATTACTACACGCCTGACGACAACGATATTATTGACACTGAAGAAAGTAAAGGCGTTATTAATTTTGTAAGTTAATGATCAACTTTGATTCTATAAAAATTGCTAGATTAACTGTTCAATTTCATTCCAACATACAAGTATCTATCAAGAGATGGTACAAAGATAGTGGTAAATTTCCGGACCCAAAGCGAATGTTTAATCTCAAGGCAAGAGGGCTAACTACTCCTGAAAAATTCGTTTCGTGGTGGAACGAAAACCATCCGGATTGTCTAATCACGGCTAATTGTATTGAGAATTGGACTTATCGAGAAGACGAAGACCTTCCAGATATAATGTTCGCTGGAGAGAATATGGGGACTAGATTATTCTGAAATTAAGCTTTTTTTACACTACATTTATGAAGCAATTACCATTTAAATATTAATATATATTAAATGTAATTCATTATACTTCGTATAATGTACAGTAACTTGCTTTTATGTATACAATAAATGTTTACAATGAAAAAACAAACAAATAAATAAAAAAATAAGCGTTGCTATATATATCTCGTATAAGTTTAAACGTTAGTTTTAAAATTAACGGCATGTTGGTCTAAAATTCCAAATGTATTATCCAATTTCCGGTCAAATAGACAGACCAGTTAGCCGTAATATAATATATGGTATTTTGCTTCTTGATATATGATTGCTTTCAGAAAGGATCTCTCTCATCAAATATTTCTATTCGAAATCTGTTGTTAACAATGTAGTATAATGTTTTAAATAATAATAATAATAATATTAATAAAATAGATTACCAACCTTTTAATTTGATTATTTACAAAACCTATTCGCCTTTCAATTACACGTACTCCAGCTCCATAAGCCCTCGTCTATCGTTCTTGTCTTCTTATCATTTTCCACCCCGAAGCTGGCTTAAAATCTACCATTCCATTATCATATTCACAGAGGTAATGGCCAGTACGCGTAGCCTGTCACAACTTTTTCTGCAATCCAGTATCTATAATTCTCGATTTCTAATCAGAACAATATTCACTCATTGTTATCTCACAAATTCCTATAATAAAAATAAATGATGTGAATTATTAAAAAAATTTATTAGGAAACTGAATACATGAGTGATACTAAAAGGATCACGTCTGTAAATATTTCTTTATGAAGACCCGCCAGTGGAATACTATATATCCAAACACGATCCAAATACTTGTAAAAACATTGTGGTTCCACCATCATCCAGAAGCAATACTCCAGAACATCAAATAACAGATGTCATAGGTGGTGCAATCAAAACTACCGAAATTAATGAAATGATGAAAAAATGTTATTGTCAAGGACAATGATCCATTCATAAAATTCCATATTGCTTGGTTTCGATAAAAGATAAAGAATAAGCTTACCGAGTTTGTATCCCGTCATTGATAAATACATGGAAAGCATAAGAAATGAATTAAATTTGTTATTTTTGAGGTGTCATCGTTATTTATTTATCCTTCATGTCCTTTATAAATGGAAAAATATCCCCAACATCGAATATTACTAAATTTAGCAATTCGTGACCGATTCAAAATTCAAAATTAACGATTTATTTATATTTTAATTTAAATTATTATATTATAAAATTTAATTAATATTCTGAACCTTTTCGTCCATTATTATGATATGATATCAATAAAAAAAATTTTTTGATGGGCAACTTTTTTTTTTTTTTTAAAAAAAAAAATGATGATTATAAGGCGTAATATTCCTTTTTTTTTTTCTGTGCGAAAAGAACTTCAAAGTATCAGATTGAGAGCATCACTTCTTTCCAAATTTTTATGAAACATTAAATATTAAATTGATTTGTTTAGAAAATAATTACTACTCGCCTGACGACGATAAAAGTTAACTGATCAACTTTGAGTCTAAAAATTATGTTTAAAAATCAAATAACATGCTTATACCATCTAGTAGAACCATTACAAGGTTTACAAATATAACTTTTACAAAATTAGTATATATAAATTCTATAATATTATTTATTTATATAAATAAAAGTATTCTATTGTATATAAAATAAAAAATTTTATATTAAAGAAATCAAGAACTTCTTTAATAAAGTTCATTAAAATAATATTATATTGTAGAGTTATTGACATTTAGTTAATTTATAAAAATGTATACAATTACGAGTATAAATATTTAATAAACTATAAGTTTATATTTAAAATTATTATTTAATTAATAATATATAATTTATTTTTTAATTTTATCTTTAATTAATTTTTTTTTATTTATTATAATAATTAAATTTTTTCAAAAATTTTAGAAAATAATTAAAATTCTGATTAAACTTTTAACATTTTTTATTTTTTTTATTAGTAATATTATTTTAATATAATTTATCTTTAATATTAGTTACTTTAATTTTAGATTTTTTAATTTTTTAATATTAATAATTATGTAATTTATTATTATTACTATTTTTCTTATATAATTACATAAATAATTATTAAAAAATTATATTTTTAAATAAATTAAAAATACAATAAAATTTTAATTTATTAAAAAATTTTTTCAATAAATGTTTATTATAAATATTTATTTTATTAAGAATTATAAGTTATTTTGCTATATTAATTAAATTTAAAAATAGTTTTTGAAAGTATTATTAAATTTAAAATATAAGTATAATAAAAGTTAATTATATATTTATTCAATTTTAAAGTAAATAGATATCTTATATAAAAATATATAAGTGAAATTAAAAGAAAAGAAAAAATTAAAATTTTTTATTAATTTGTTTAACTGAAACAAATTATATATTCAAAAAATTATTATTGTAAAAATTCCATATATTAACATTTTTATAATTGATAAATTTATTAAATTATCTTATAAATAACTGTTATTAACATAATAATTTTTACTTTATATTTTAATAATTATTTTATTTAATTTTTTTACTTTATATTTTAATAATTATTTTATTTATTTTTAAAATATATTTATTTTTGAAATTATATTATTAATTAAAAATTAAAGTTATAATAAACTATTTTTTTTACTTTATATTTAATAATTATTTTAATAAAAATTAATTCTATTTTAGAATATTTTATCTTAATTCATCACATATTTTAGTTTACATTGATTTTAAATATTTTTCTTTTTTCTTTTTTCTTCTTTAAAAATAAACTAATTTCATTTTAAAAAAAAATATCACAAAAATGCTAAAAGACAATAAAAATAGTTATGATAATATTATATTTATATATATTATAATATTTATTTATTATTTGTATCTTTTTAATTATTTAAAATTGCAATCTTTCATAAATATGTAAAATTTTTAAAAAATTTTAATAAGCAAATATATTAAAGTTTTTACTAAAATTAGATAAATTTACTAAAAATATATTAATTTATTAAACTATTAAAGAAATTGTAATAGAAAATAAGTTAGATTAATAATTATTATAATTTATTATTATAATAAAATAATAAAATAATCAAGAAATCTTAGCAAATTCTATTTAAATAACTGTTATAACAATTAATTAATAATTATATTAAAGGTGTTGATATTTAATAAGAATTTCAGTTTTAAATTTATGAAAAGTTTTAATAAAAAATTAAGCTTTTTTCAGATCTTGAGTTTAAATAAATCTAAAAATCTAATACATTTTTCTGTCATTAATGAAAAGCTAAATAGATCTTAAATTTTTTATTTAAATTTTCTTTAAAATTTTCTTTATTTTAAATTCTAATAAAATTATTACTAATGTATAAAATTATAAATTTAATAATTGATAAAATGATATAAATTATTAATCAATAAAAAATGAATAATAGTATTTAAGAAGATTATTATATCAAAGTTTTTTTTTAAAGTGCAATTTTTCTTAGATTATATAGTGAAAAACATTTATATTTAATGATAAATAATTTTTAAAAAGATTTAATAGAGATTATGATATTTGAATTTTTAGATTAAAGACAGTTAAAGAGTAAATATTAGTCATTATAAAAAAGAAGAAAAGTTAACTTTTTTAAATAACTTTATTTTAGTAAATAATTATTATAAATATATTATTTTATGACCAGTTAATACTGAACTTAATTTTTATTTCTAAGAAGAAAAGAAAAAACAAATAAATTTAAGTTATATTAATTTTATTATTATTATTATATTCTTATTATATAATTTTTCAAATTGAAAATTATTTTAAGTGATATTATATTGATAAAAAAAAATTTGTATTATGATAAAAATTGATATTAATAATAGAAAAATTATAAATTATGTAAATAGAAAGAGTTAAATATCAATTTCATTATAAATTAGGTTAAGATGTTTAATTTTATGTTTTTACTTATAATCAGCAATAACTAAATATAATAACTTTGATAGCAAATAAAATTCATAAAAAAAAAAATACAAGTTCTTTGAAATTTTTTTTTGCTATTTTTTAATATTAATCAATTAATATAAATAATTACAAAATATATTAGTATCTGAAAAAATGTTTCTCTAATAAACTTTAATATAATTCAATAGACAAAAATAAAGAACAAATTAACATTTTTAACTGCAAAAAGAAGATAAGTATTATTTTATTATACAATAATAATTGTATTAAAAATTTATTAAAATATTTTTTTCAGTATTAAAACAATCCAATCATCAAAATGTTTCAAATACGCCTTTGAATTCTAATAATTAAGTTGAAACCTGAGAAATTTAAAAATTATTAGAATCCGGTATATTGGCAAATGCTCATTTATACATAAAAATTATTATAATATGTATAATAATCATATAAAATAATATATAAAAAATTTTATAAATATTCAAGTACTGTACATTAGTTAGCTTATTATTTTAATATTATACTTGATATTGGATATTCAAAATTAATATTGTACAATAAAAATAATCAATCTGCAATATATCACGTTACGTATCATATGATTTAGTATGTCAGTATAATCATTAAAGTTATTGTTACACGAAATCCTACCAGGGATTTAATTTTTGTAACGTTTAACGGAAATGTCCAATTTTAATTTTCTCTCTCATTATTGTGATTATTCTTATATATGTAAAGAATGAGTTGGAAACAAATTAACGGATTTTTACAACTACTTGATATCGGCTCTGAATCAGAATTATGGGGAATCGATGATTGTCAGGTAAATAATCAAACAATTTTAGCAAGTAATTTTAATGAAGTAAAAAAGAATAAAATGGTTAAATAAATTATTTAGGTTTTCAAGTGGAACATTAAATCTTGGTTACATGCAAAAGGAGTACTAGCTTCAAGTCTTGCTGTTGGCGCTGATAATAGTATTTGGTGTACCACTAAAGATCATAAAATTTACAGACTAGT